CGAACTCAGTTGCACTAGAATTTGAGAGGTATGGGCTTTATTCCAAGTAACCTTGTAAGAACGGGAGGGTCATTTTAGGAGAGAATACATTATGGGAACAACTAGTGGCCGCAGGTACACCTTGAAATAGGGAGCCTCGGATCTGTCTTCGTGAATTGGTGGCAACACGCTTCGGTCACCTTCACCAGCAGTCTTATTCAATTCCTCAAGTTCCACCATTAATCAACCCGCTCCCCAATCAGAATGGTCTTCAAGCATTTACACTTGAACGGGCCTTGCATCCTTTCTTCTGTACTTTGATCCATCTTGGTCCTTTTGTTGAGAATACCCTCCCTCCTCCTCTCACCACATATATCACATCATTGACATTTAAAATCTAAAGTCTACATTTATGGTCTCAAGGTCCATCTTCGAAGGTTCAGTTCAAGCCCCACCCTCTGGGTAAAGCCCCTTCTTCCCTTCCTTTGTCCCACTAACCTCTCTCTCTTCCGAAGGCCTCAGCACATCACCCACGCCAGCGCTCTGGCATGTAGCATCTGCAGCCACACACGTGGCTCTCGTGAGCATGTCCTTCACTTGCAACTAGACTGTAAGCTCCTCCCAGGCAAGAAAACATATTGTGATTTCTTGGTACCTCTCCCAATCCCTAGCCACGCATATGCCCCCGACTTCCACGTACCTTGCCACTTAGAAGTCAGGGCTGAGGGGACAAGCCTAGAGTCAGAGCCAAGAGAAATGAATCGGAAACTCAACTCTGACCCTACCTAGCTCTGCAACCTTGGGCTTAATTTCTGAGCTACAGGTTTCTCATCTATAAAATGAAGCAAGTACCAGCTATCCAATCAAATTCAGAGGACCACGTGCACACACATGCATGCGCGCACACACACACACACCCTTCCTACGCAGTGAACCACAAAATTTGTAGGTATTAGCTCCTGTCAGGATTTTTTGGCTACAAGCAACTGAAACCAATTCAGGCTAACTTGAGTGGAAAAAAAAAGAGCCTTTGCTGGATGAGCAGAGCAGATCGTTCACAGAGCCAGAGGGCATGTGGAGACCCATCTCGGCAAATGAAGAGAGAGCAGCTCTGGGGCCAGGTGGCAGGCAATGTGGCCGTCTTGGCAGGTGCCCCTGCAGAAGTGGACTAGCTCTAAACAAGTTTCCAGCTTTGTGCTGGAATTCAAGTCCCGGAAAGGGATGTCGGCCTAGCTTTGGTTATGGGTCCCTGCTCCTTGGGCACAGCAGCCCTAGTCACCTGGCTTTGCAGCCCCCATAAAGTCCACACGTGATGAAGGAAGATCAAGTGCTCAAAGGAAATTAGGGTGAGGTCATGAGCATCATGAGTAGATGCTGGGTGGCCAGAAAACAGCAAGTGTCCACCACCATGCTTAATAAATGTGCTTAATAAACCACCGGAGGGACAGTGGCCTTCCTTTGATTCTGAAGACGTGTTGACTCTCTTTGCACTCTAGACAATGTCTCTAGACCTTACTGGTGGGCGCCTTGGGGAGATACTGGTTTGGCACATTCTTTCCTCCAGGGCGGTTGGAAGAAAACCTTACAGAAAGGAGGAACGGATTGCTACTTGACAGGGCAGGGCACTAGGAGAGATGGACACAGTCAGCTGTGTCATCACTTGCTCAGAGAAACCCTCTCTGCCCTTCCACACGGGGTTGCACTGGCCCACGTTCTCCTGCTACAGCCCTACATCTCCTTTGCGGCTCTTCATTCGACGCAGGTTCAGTTCATGCACGTTTTCTCCCCTCTGGTTGGAATCTCCACGAGAGGGGGGCCAACAGCTCTTCCTGCTTGCCTCTGGGACCCACAGCGTGGCATATTCTTGGCGCTCAGCAAATACCTGTTGGATGAACTCAATGAATGAACAAGGTGCTAAACAAGGCAAATTGGTCAGCTGCCCACCTACTGAGGGCAGGCTCCACCTTCTCCTGGGCACACGGGGTGCCAGACTGGGGTCTACAGGTGGAGACTACAGGTAGAGACAGGTGAGCGAAGGCTCTTGCGCTAGGGGTTGAGCCACCCTAGGCTTTTATTTTATTTTTTTCCCCAGAATCAGGCTGTGGCAGCAGTAAGCCACAGCTGCTGGAGGAGGAAAGGAATGCTCTCTCAGGTCTGCGGTGTCCCTTCCTTGCTGTGGGCGTCCACCCACGCAGGAGCATCGCCCATCTGCCTGTGTCTCCTGGGACAAGATACTAAGACGCCCTGCTATTTGTACAGAGGTTCGCCGCCTACAAAGATCTTTCCTCATTATTTCCACTGAGGCTCACACCAGCCAACCTGGTGTCATTGGCCCCACTTTATAAATGAAGAAACGGCAGCCCAGAGCTTTCCTCAAGGTTGCACATCCAGGGAACTTCAGGAAACACACTTTAGGGCCTGGGACCCCCAATCCTCCGTGTCAGCCATGTGCACAGGGGCTGTGTTCTCCAGGAGACCTCCTTTTGAGAACTCTCCACTTTCTGTCATTGTGCTAAACAAAGGGACTCAAGGAAACAATGTATTACTGGGTTTTATTCTAGTGGAACTGTGTCAGTTTGTATCCAATTTGGACTGAATGTATTTACCCTGGAAGGTTCCGGAAGGGAGAGAGATAGGGAGAGACTTGGACTTCACTTGCAGTACAGTTAAAAATTTGTCTTTGGGTTTGGAATTGACAAACTCTAATTTCTTCCCATCTTTGATTCATGTCAGGTCAACTCAAAAGTCTGTCATTCAGAAAAGGCTCAGACTACGGATCCGGGGCATCCCTCTCATCTGAGGCCTGAGGTGACAACAGATGGCTGGAGAAATCGCCTATGACCGGATTGCTTCTCCTTAGGGGACACAGTTCATACTGCATCCTTGCAATTGGAGTTTTATCTGCAGGCCTTTAAAAAACAAACCAAAAAAAAAAAAAAAAAACCCAAAAAACTATCCTGACTCTCCCACAATTGTGAGTCAGGCTATATTTAGACCCAGGCTGAGGTTTAAAGAAGTTACGTAAGAAGTGATTATGTCAACCCCAGGGGTGAACCGGGTGATTTCTCCCTTTTTCTCAAATATGGTGTGAGACTCCCTTGGCCCTGCATCAACCACTGAACCCCAAGGGCAGGCCTGGTGCAGCAGCTGCCACAAGGTGGGCACTAGCTGTTTGCCCAGGACAGGGCTCTGGGCTTTGCCTGTGTCACCTCACTTGACCTCAGCACCTCTGCTGGGGACTAGCACCGCACCTGTGCTGTGGACGAGGCAGCAGAGGCTCAGCAGGGTGAAGTACCCGCCCAGGGAGGCCACGCTCTTAGCAGGTGGACCACCTGGGATTCAGACCAGTATGTGCCCACTTAGGAGGCTGAAGCTGAAAGAAGAAAGAAAGAAAGTAGTAAAGACAAGAAAGGAAATCACTCGGCAGTGACATCTTGGAAGCCATGAGCACAGCCTTCCTTGTGCATGGAAGACAGGCGCCCTCCGAACCCAAACTCCCTCCCAGGTCCTTCACATGAGCAAAAATATCAATTTCTACTGTGTCTGAATGATCAGAAAATTGGGGGGGGGTGCTCATTGTAGCAGGTGGCACTCCTGGGGTCCTCACATCCAGCTTTGCAGCCTTCCTGAGAGGGCCGGGTGCAGGCTGATGCCGAAGGGCAAGTCCCCGTCAGGCAAACAAACCATGGCAGGGAACAGTCTCGGGCTGGGATCTCTGGAAGCTGGAGAGGGAAGCAGAGCCAGCCCGGGGCAGGGCTCCCCAGTGGGCTCCTTCCTCCTGCCAGCCTGGTTCCAAAGCCCACCTCTCTCTCCTTCCAGGGCCTCAGGAGGAGGCAGGGCCAGCTTCTAACAGGGTGAGTGAGCTGGGGTGGGGGTGACGGGGTCTTGCAGGTGGAGGAGAGAACATGCACAAGTGAAGCCACACTTTGAGGGTGTCTGTGTGGCCTTGCACTCATATGGTTTCCTTACTTCTTTTCTTCCTAGTGGTAAAAGTCACCCCTGTGCCACATTTAAGACCACGGAGAGCTTTGGGAGAAGCTTCCGCTCAGCCCCCTCGTGCCAGCTGGGCACCTCCCTTTATCCAAGTGACAGCTCTGTCTCCGGCCCCACAACTCTGCTCTGATTTCCAAGCAAATGTTCTCGCAGTGCACACTGCAAACCACTCCGCCTCGGGGGAACTGGACGGTGCTGATGGAATGTTCCCCGGGCCTCCTTCTGCAGAAGTTCATCCTGGCGGGAAGGTGAGGACGCCTCTCTCCTCCGGTTCTGCTGGAGTCACCTCCCCTTCAGGCTAAGCTTCGCCATATGCTCACCCCCAGGCCCCTGTTGACAAAATACCCGCATCCCACCACCATCCCCCTGCCCCCAGGTCCCAGCCCCCCACCCCTGGCCCCGAATCAACGACAGCTCATTTGTAAGAGGTTTTTAATTTCATCTTGGTATGCCATTACGAGCGGAGTAAGGATCTCTATTTGTTTTCACTCACATAGTATCTGCTACATTCTCCGACGCATCTCTACCACAGAAGTCTGCAGACTCATACGGCATCTGCATGATTTTCCCTCACCAGACTGGTTCGGGTTTCTCGGTGGTTTGCATAAATTATAAACATGAGCACAAAAATCACACAACATAGACTCTATCATAAGGGAGCACGTTCCCTCTGGCTTTGCAGAGAGTGAAGGGGACCCGGCTCTGCACGCAAGGCCCGAGAGACCCAGGACATCCTCAGGAGTGAGGCCAAGCCTGCACCGGCCACTCTCGGAGGACTCCAAGCTGACCCCCACCCCCGGTTTCCCCCCCTCCCCATCCACTCGTCTGCTTTCCCAGGAGGCATCCTAGCACAGAAGTAGCTGGTCCTAGCACCACGACTGGAGAACAGGGTGCAGAAGTGTCCCTGTGTACAATGGCAGCTGGGGCTTCTGCGCTCAAAGTCCGAGAAGCGAGACAGAAGGAAGAACCCTGGGTGTCCACCCCCACCCCCACCCCGCCGGTCCCTGCTGCCTCTATGAACTCCAGGAGGCTGTTGAGGGATAGACTTTCTAGAACAGGAGCCAGCAAACATTTTATGAAAAGAGCCAGACGGCATAGGTAGTTAATATTTCAGGCTGTCTGGGCCACAGACACTCTGTCACATATTCCTTTTCTTTCTTTCTTTCTTTCTTTCTTTCTTTCTTTCTTTCTTTCTTGCTTTCTTTCTTTCTTTCTTTCTTTCTTTTTCTTTCTTTTTTTTACAACCCTTTAAAAATATAAAAACCATTCATAGCTGGCCAGCCCTATGACACAGCCCACAGGCAGCAGTTTGACAACCCCTGGTCTAGAACAGCACGATGCCCTCCTCCATCCCTGCAGCACCAGCCACCTCCCCATCGCAGGACTCTGGCCCCTGAGCTGCCCTGAGCGGGCACCGCCGGCTGAGGCTTTGCAGGAGGGACCACAGCGGGCAGAGCAAGGCCCTCTGGGCTCACAGTACGGGCAGCCCCCAGTAGCCCCTTTCGCCAAGTGACTGGTCGGGTATTTTAAACAAATATGGGATTTTCGTTTCAGCCCTGCTCATGTGTCCTGGGGGCGAATTAAGCCTCAGCGTCCCCCAGTGAGGTAGGTACATACTATCAGCCTCATCCCACACCTGCAGATGCTGAGTTCAAGAGCAGAACTGGCCGTCCTACTGCTGCCCACAACTACGTGTCAGAGTTTAAAAGGAAGCTGAAGAGTCTAGGCTTTACGTTTTCTAAGAACACAATCAAGGATTTTTTTGTTTTGTTTTGTTTTTTCTGTCCCACCCAAGCCCTGTGATTCAACCCCAAAGAGAGCAAGAATCCACGAAAGAGTACGGTCAGCCACACAGAGCTGCTTTCCAGGCCTCGGTGACACACTCTCGAAAACAGAATTAACTCAAGCACTCAAAGCTACCGGCCTAGGTGGAGCAGCCCTCTCTGCCCTGCCGACAAGTCTCTCCGAACTAAAAATAAAGTTTATAAAAGTAAATTATCTCATCTTATAACTTAAGTGCATCAAGCATTTCCTTAAATATAGTTCACACTGAAAATAAAGTTACTTTTGCTGTACAGTTGGTGTCTGTTATAATTAGGAATAAACTTTGATGATAAAGCATGGAAGGTTACACACTCACACACACATCTGTCCGTCTGTCTGTCTATGGGTATATGGACGGGTAGACATATGCACCTCTTGACGGGAGCTTCCCCAAAACGGTGGGAAGTTGTTAGGAGTCTCTAGGTACCTAGTTCGCATGAGAATGTCTATATTAAAATTCCCTGTCCTTAATGATAAACACATCTTCATACCTAAAGCTAAGACTTATCAGAAACATGAAACTATGCGATCCATTATGTATTCAGTCTTTGGAAATGCCGAGCTACACCAGGGTGATATACAACAGCATCCCCGACCAAACTCCCTCCCCAGCCCACCTCCTCCCTGGTCTCCCCATCCTAACGCCGGCCGGCCCCGCATGGAATACGGTTGTTCCGAGTGGGAGCCCCGCCACAGAACTCCAGGGGAAGACTCAAGAGGTAAAGTAAGAATTCTGCATGGAGTACAGGTGGTCGATGGGGTTTCCCACTCTGGACTGCAGGGGCCCGGCTTCTGAGGTTGCTAGGAAACAGTCACCCAGGTTACTGAGGGAGGTGTCGTCACTATCCAGGTCATGGAAGAGGGGCTCGGCACCTGTAACAGAGATGAAATGGGTCGTGAGGGTCCCGAAGATGAGACTCCCTTGGGCGCCAGGAAATGCAGCAGGATGCAGCCCCCAGAGGATGTCTCGTCTCCCAGCGGGTACTGGGGAGTGGATGGAGGGAGCCACTGGGGAATGGGAGGGAGGTGGGACCTATCCACAGAAGGCCTCTCAGGTGCCTGGAGGGCTCGGGTACAAAGTGCAACCGCTGGAGCCCGTATAAACTAGGACGGGACAAAGGGCCAAATGGTGCCCAGCAGAAGCAAACGTCCCAACATCTAGATGGCGAGTTTGTAGAGTGGGGAGGATGCGGCCCCACTGGCTGGAGAGGCAGGGCCAGGGCTCCTAAGGACTTGGCTCCCTCAAGGGAAGCTCTTGACGGAGGACCAGTAAGAAGGCTAACATCGGTGCTTGGTGCCACCTCCATGGTAACAGGGGTCCCTTCAAACAGCAGGATCAGGGATGCCTGGGTGGCCCAACGGTTGAGCTTCTGCCTTCGGCTCAGGGCGTGATCCTGGAGTCCCGGGATCGAGTCCCACATTGGGCTCCCTGCAGGGAGCCTGCTTCTCCCTCTGCCTGTGTCTCTGCCTCTCTCTCTGTGCCTCTCATGAATAAATAAATAACATCTTTAAAAAAACAAAACAAAACAGCAAGATCACACTGAGTGTCTGCTGCCCGCCCCCCAAATGCGTCCTGCAAGGGAAAGATGGTGAGGTGCCCACCCTCGACTAAGTTACACCCTTGTCAGAGAAGACAGACTGTGGAGCAGCCCAGGCACCACGTGACAAGAACCCAGAGCTGCCCTCGTTGTGCCCTGCACACCTTCCACCTGGCCAGACGATTCTACAGATGAATGAGCGAGTGCTCAGTGAAGTCCCCGCAGAGGGACTTTGCATCACGTGGGAAGATGGGTCACTTCAACTTTTTTTTTAAAGGAAGGGGAAGAAAAAGCATTTGCTTGACAATACCAGTGAGCTGGGGCATGTATCTCTGGTACTGTTTTGAAGGTTTGCTGAATAAAATAGCTTTATTTCTAGCGATCGGCATCATCTCACACAGGTTACACAGAACAGATGCATCGCAGACGCCACTGACCTCCTGTGTATAGAAATCTAGTGACCTCTCTATGGCCCTGGACTGAACATCAGCCCTCGGCTCCCGAGCTTGCCCACCCCGTCAGGGTGCCCAGCTGAAGCAGCAGCAGGACAGGGAGAGGCGGCTAAGCTCTCCGACGCCCAGCACTTAAGGCAACCCCAGTGTGGGGGTGATGGGAGTGGGCGGGGGGTACTTTCCACTTCACAAATCAGGTCATGTTTCAGGAGTTAACTTAGAGCACCTAAAGAGCATCAGTTCAACTAGAAGCTTCGCTTTCTATACTTTTATGTAATTTCTTTCTTCGTGTAAAAGTTTGCTTAGTTAAGGCCTTTTGCCCACATCACTGCTGGTACCGCTTACCAGCAGTGGTACCTGGTATGAAATGAAAGGAAGGAAATTTGATCCCAGCAAACAGGTCTACAATGAAAATACAACCTCTTATGTAAAACTAACAAGAATCCTTGACAAGGAGAATAAAAGGAAGTATCACTAATGACCATGCATGTTGGTCTTTCTTCTGTAGCCGCTGGTTGGATGATTCTAGCAAAATCTTCTGGGCATGTGTTCTACTTGTGGCTTCGGGGGAGCATATGGGAACCACGTGGATGTGTTTGGAAGGGAAGGGGGAACCATGCAAGCAGGTCGTGAGAGGTGCCCGTGGGCCCTGAGTCCATCTTACCATATGGGTGCATGTGGTCTCCCGGCATCTGGGGCGGGGTGAGGCCCTGTCGGAAGGGGTCTGAGCTGTAGACACTCTGCTCGATGGCCAGGAGCTGCTGTGGGGTGGGCAGTGCCGTGTAGGGGTTCATGATCCCTTCCATCCCAGCATTCCCACTGCCATTTGTCTGAGCTGGGACAAAGAAGAAGACAGATCATTCTTCATGTGCAGCCCAGGACTCCACGCTGGGACAAAAGGCCAACAACATCTTCTGAACTTCATACCCACCATGGCCCGGTGTCCCTGTCTAGTACCAGCCTTTGCTATGGCTTCATAAGGAGGAGTGACAGGGGCTGATGCCCATGATACTGTGAGCCCCACTGGAGTGGGACATGCTGAGTCCGCCATCCCACTGTTGCCCCACCATGCACTTCTCCATAGGCCTGCTTGAGCAGCCTGGCAACACCGTAGCCGGCTTCCCTGGAGCCAGCCAGCCAGCAGAGCACAAAGTAGAAACTGCCACACTTTTTGTGACCTCGCCTCGGAAGTCACTCTGTAGGTCATCTCAAGTCAGTGTCCAAGGGGACAACACAAAGGTGTGAACACCAGGTGGTGAGAGGCATGGAGGGCCATCTTGGCCGTGGGACCATGGTGAGATTATTTTCCTTCCTGGCTCTTGGTTTCCTAATTTATGAAATGGTCTGGAACGAGGTGACATCAGTGCCTCCCAGCCTGTGCCCTGTCAAGGGCCATCACGGTCAACCTCAGAGAATAGGGATGAGGGCGGTGCAGTTGAATTTGGAGAGTTTCCTTGAAATATATCATTAAAAGCAAGGTGTTTGATGCTACCCATGGGTTTGGCAGCCACTGGAGGTGATGCATCTAAAGATCCTTCCAGTCTCACCCCTCTGGGAGCCCATCAATCAAGCTGGGTTCATGACACTGGCCCCACTGACCCCATGGAGCTGATAGAAAGACTCAGTGAGATGGTGTGAATGTGCTTTGGAAGAACTTGCTACAGTTGTGAACAGAATTTTTGGAGAACAGAGGACTCACCTCCTGCCTCCATATCTTGTGTGGTTCTCTGAGCATTGGTCCGTTAACTCTCAGAGACTCTACTTTCCACCAGCTTCTGCTTTCTTAAGTCTGCCCTAGGAGTTGCCATTCGAATTCTTCCAAGCCTCAAGCACTCTGAGCTGTGTTCTCATACTGCCTTGAAGCATTCTTCCCCCTTTGACCGTGTGGACCTATGTGGAGTCAACATGCATGGGTCTTCCTAAAGTCCTCTCTTGTCCATGACCCCCCTCTGAACTTACCAGGGCCATAGGGCTGGTAGGTGTGATTATCCCATCACCAGGGATAGCCTGAGGCACCAGGAGACAGAAAGGCTGGCCCCAGATCAGACAGGTCTGCGGGTAGAGCTGTGGTAGTTTTCAGGTCTCCTGAGCAACTTGCGCCTCCAGCCTTCCCTGGTCCCCATGTCTTTGTTTGACTTCTCTGAGCATCTATCTTGCCACTAAGATACTGTCTGGCCTAGAAGATAGGAAGCCAAGAGAACTCCGGGCTGCAAGAGTCAGACTCTAGAGTGAGCCTAGCCTAGGTATCAAGCACAAGGCAAGGTCCACGTAAGGACAAGGAGCCCTGTCTAGGGGCTGAGAACCAATGTCATGGCCCATGACCTTCAATGTGTGGTCCACAGGCTGGCAGCGGTGGGAGTTTGTTCAAAATGCAGGATCTCACGGTCTACCCAGACTAGAGGAATCAGAATTTGTACTTTACCAAATGTCAAGTCATTTATGTGCATATTGAAGGCTGATAATTCCTGCTTGAGGTACACAGACCCGGGGTCTCAGGGAATCCCACTGGATGGCTTTTGGGGGCACATCCCTTTAAGAATAACATGGTCATAATATAGTTATATATTTGATTTTTTTTTTCCTTTTAATGCCCTTGAAGTGTCCCACAATCTATCTCTTCTCAACTCCTTTCCAGTCCTCACACCATCCCTATGAACCACAGCAGCAAATGAAGGTGCATGCAGGAGGGGAGAGTTAGGGCAGCACAGCCTAGCAGAACCCAGATTCAGAGGCATATGCTCTGGTCCTGACTCACCCGCTACTCAGCCTTGCAGAGCCCTCGTCTGCTCATCAGTGAGATGGGGACAAAGTACTGCTCTGCTCCCCTGGTTCAGGAGGGAGGTGTTGTCAGACTTGGGTCAGGTGAGAACACCCTGAACTATAAACATACCCGACAAGGGAGGGGGATACAGTTTCACTAGCAGTATTTTTACTATTTTATGTTGTTCGGGAAAGGGGTAAGTCATAGTGGTGTCCTGTCAACCAATTTGCCAGGAAGGAGGAGGATCCAGGTCTGTGCTCTTTGGGGCGTCCTGCCAAGTGGGAGCTCTGGAGAAGGTTTGAACCACCTCAGTCAGATCCCTGCTGGAAAAGCCAACCCCCCGCCTCCCGCCTTGGTGCAAATGGGGCTTCACTGATGTGGCCCTTCCCAGAGCTGGGGGGCCGGGGCGGGGGGGTGGGTGAGGCCTGGAGGCTTGCAGGCCTGGCTGCAGGGGCCCTGCTTACCGGAGCTCAGCCTCTGAGTGTTCTGCTGGTCCTGTTGCTGCTGCTGCTGCCGCCGGGCCAGCTTCTTCATCTGACAAGGAGAGGGATGTGGGGTTAGAGTCAGGTGATTGGCAGCAGGCTCCTGCCTGGGGGTGCAGGACAGGCCTTGTGCGTAAAGCAGGGGGACACTCTTGAGCTCCGACTCAGTGAAGGAACCATGCTGGGGGAGCCAGCCATGTGTCCCAAGGCTGGTTCAGGCTCTTCACCTGCAGCCATGGGAAGCCACCTGGCTGGGAAGCATGAGGCTGCTGGTCTTCACAGGCACAGGGACTTCCTCTCAGCAGCTAAACATCATTGCTTACATTGTGACAGTTTTAGGTGAAGTGTAAGTGTGGGTGTGGGGACCACAGCCCGGCTTGGGTGACAGCAAGGGGCTGCTGACGGGGTGTGACCTGGGATGTGGCAGGAGGCTGCTCCCTGCCCACATCCCCATCTGCTGGCCCTGGGGTCTGAGACACCTGCCAGGAGATCTGCACCTCTGGGTAGGGAGCTGATCCCCCAGAGCACCCTGTTAACACCAAAACTTCCTGGCAGGAACATTTTAACCCGAGCTTCTCATGCTGTGTTCTGTGGAAGGTCAGGGCTCCGCAAGACCCTAACCAAAACCAGCAAACATTGCTCAGAGCTTCAACCTCCTCTGATTTATGAATCCATTAGGTTACGGGGCCTCATTTAAACCTATGGAAACAGGGAGTCCTCTCAGGATGGAGTATGTGTCGTTGGCCCTGCACTGAAGGATTCGGTTAGGGTGGCGCCGGGCTATCTTAACAATCATGATCAGATAATGAGATGTGAATTTGTCACCCAGTATAGAGCAGGACCCCAGACACATGGGCCATGGGCCACATGCATTTTTAGGGGCAGGAAACCACATGAGTGAAAGACTATGGTGGAGCAACACAGACCTCAGTAGGATCCAGAGAACAATATGACAATTGGGGTGTACATGGCGGGCACTGAGTCAAGGCATCCATGCCACCCAACATCGTAGGATATCACCTCAGTCACATGTGTGCTATGCAGGTTTCTCTTCACAATTTTAAGATAACTTTGGTAGCTGGGTTTAAAAAGGTGAATTAAAGAATCCGCTTTTACCAAAAGACACAGAAAGACATTTATTCTGGCAGATGGCTGGCCAGAGTCATAGTCACGGCCACTAGGAAAATCAAAGCCATCTCACTAGAACAAATGCCCCATCTCTCCCCTTCTGCAGGGCTGACATGACTGTTTTTGTTTTTTTTTTTTTGTTTTTTTTTCTGACATGACTGTTGATAACAGAATTTTTGAATCATGAGAACTACTCCATCCAATGGGTTCTGGTTAGATAGCCCATCTGCGAATACTAAGTCCTACTGCTATTATCAGGAAACCAGCCACACAGAGATAGATGACAGTACGAAGCGGATTACCTTAGCTCTCTGGTTCTGGAACCACACCTGGACGACACGGACGCTCAGCCCTGTCTCTGCGGCCAGGGTCTCCCTCACCTTGACAAAACGGAACATTAAAAATAGAGAAACATTGGCATCTCAGAGGAGGGGGCAGGACGTTCCCTATGTGGCGCGCAGGCAGGCTGCGTTTTATATAGGAGCTGGCTAGTGTTTAAGGGCAATGTGATCCCAAACACAAGACCACTGCTTCCCTTCGGGTGGAGAGAGGTCCTTCATCAGGTAAACGAAGAAAGGAATGATTACTTTAGATGTGCATTCCAAGAGGTGTTCCTCAGCTTCTCTGACTCTGGAAACTAGGCCTTCAAATGGTCTTTGAACATCAGCAAAACCTATTACTGTGCTTTGGGAGTCACATCCATGCCTATGGACTAACCTACTTAGGGAGAACGGAGGGGGACAATGACTTTGCAAGACAAATGGCCCTCTCTTGTCCTCTTCTGTCTAAATTCCTTGACCTAAATTTTTGGTTCTGTCCCTCACAGAGCTCTAGGTGACTTTGGGTGTTCCATGAATATTCATCTTCACTGTTACCCTGAGTGAGCCCTACTCAAGGAGAATAAGACCAGAGTGATCTGGAACCTGGCAGAGCAAAGCAGTCAGCTCTGATCAGCATGTGCGCTGTGGCCTTGCAGAGACGGGACGGTCAGGAGCCCCGTGATGAAGAGACGGTTTAAACATCCGCCCTCCACGCGGACACACAGTGAGGGACTGGCAAGGTGGCAGGAAGGGAAGAGGCGAGAAGCACAGCCTTTCTGAGAGCGAGGCTGAGAGGCACTGCCCTCCTGGCTTAGATTCTGGGGTGGACATGAGGTTGAACGCAAAACACGGGAGCAGAGAGCTCACAGGAGGCCTTGGGAAGTGCTCTACCTTTACCACACCACAGGGGCTGAGGCTTAGGACAAGTGAGATGATTAGACGGGATCTCTAAAGCACATCCTTCTGCTAAGCCACTCAAATAGCAGTGTGCCCCGGCCCCACCTCCACCTGCTGAAACCCTATCCATTTTTCAGAGGCCCAGCTCAGAAGCCACCTGTTCCACAAAGCCTTGCCGGACTCCCTAGACAGAAATGATCTTGCCCTTCCTGGTTGTCCCTCTGTTAGGGTCCTCAGGGCCTTCTCTCCCTTGTTAGTTATGTGCATATGCATCTCTTCCCCACTAGGCCTGCAGGCTGCCTGGCCAGCAGCACCAGGCACAGGGCCATTCAGAGGCTGGGAGCCTAGTACATGTAGAAAAAGTAATAAATGAAGGATGTGGTCATTTGTCCTTGCATAAGCCTACTTTGGGGCTACTTTACTTCCTCCCAGCACCTCCCCTGGAGCCTAAGCGTGCAAGGGCAGGGAGAGAAGGAGGTCTGCAGGAGGTCACATGTGGTGATGGACTGTACTGCTGGTCAGGTCAGCAAACATCTCCCCCTCTCTCCCTCCCCGGCTCCAACAGGCAGGCCTCCCCCCATGCCTCACACCCAGTGAGCCACATGACTTGCTTTGGCTCGTGGGATATGTGTGGATACGGTATGTGTGATCCAAGGAGAGCCTTTCAGTGGGTTTGCCCGGTGTGACTTGGCCCCTTGCCTTCTGCCATCCTCGTGAGAACAGCGCGCTCCTTCAGCCCAGAGCCCTGGAGAGGCAGGTGGAACAGGCCTGAACCTGAACCCAGCTGGGCCACAGCCAAGCCACCGCCCAGGAGCAGGAAAGCAACGTTTGCTGGAAGCCACTAAGATTTTATTTGTTATGACAGCAAAAGCTGACTAATACAGATAGAGACATGGGAAAAACAATGCCAACTTAAAAAAAAAATGTATGTCCCCATGAGTTTCGATTAAAAAAGTTTTCTTGCTTGTATCGTCTAAGTAATAAGACTGAGCACATGACGGGCAGTCAATAAATGGCAGGTGCTGCGTAACAGGCACAGCTCTCTGTGGCAGAGACCGCTGACTGTCCCCAATATCCATTCTCTCATTTCTCCTATTGATGATTAAATCCCCAAGCATTAGCAGGGCATGTGGTCACCCAGGATAGACTCGTTTCCCAGCCCCCTTACAGGAAATGCAGTCATGGGATTAAATTCAGGCCATCACATATGAGTGAAAGTGATACAAAGACGCTTGGGGCATGGCTTGCCCTTGACGTCCTCTTTCTCCACCATGGCAGCTGGAAAAGAAGGTGACACCTTGGTGCCTTAGAACCCTATGACTGATAACAGAGCTCCCTGCTGGTCTTGGATTGCTCATCTCCGGACTGTGACATGAGATGGAAATAAATCCATACCTCATCAGGTTCGCTGCAGCCCCATCTGTAACAGCCCCAAAATGGGAACAACCCAAACACCCATCCACAGGTGACAAATGGACAAACTGTGGCACATCCGTACAGCGGGATTCCATTCAGCCACGAAAATGAATGAACCAAGACATCAGCGAGTCCCCAAATCACCACTCCAGGTGGAATAAGCTAGACCCAAAGTAAATAAATATATTTCTACAAACCACTATATTTTTTACTATTCTTGTTATAGCATCCAGGTCTAGACCCTAACTGGCACCTGCTGCTGCTGTTCCTGCTGTTGCTCTCCACGAATTGAGCAAGCAGCCACGTGAAATGGCTATGCAAGCACAAAAGCATAGGGAGATCCTATTATTTCCCTGGCCATGGCACCAGTGCTCCGGAGTCTCCAAGAGGGCTTGGGGCCACCTGCACAGACTATCTGAACAGCTCCCTTGCTGCCCTGACCCCCGGGTGCATCCATCAACACTCCGGAGGAGCACAGAGTACACGCAAACAAGGGGGGGGCCCATCCCCTTTCCTCCCATCTTCCCCCCTGTACCTTTCTGCATGGCTTAGAGGATACTTCAAATGAGGCCTTGAACGCTCTCCTCTGTTGGGTTGTCAAGATGGTTCTGGGACGTTTGGGGCGCTTATGGTCCTTGCCATCTTCAGCAGCTCCTTTCCCTGCCCCATGTGCTGACTTACAAAGACTTTCTTCATCATCACTTTTGCCTAAAGGAAGCAGAAAACAGTATGTTACATTTTTTAAAGCCACTTCCTAGAGCTACAGGTTATTCTAGAACAAGGCACTGGGGTCCACGTCCTCAGGATGGCTTCACATGTGAGTGCAGGAACCTGTGTGGGATTGACTTGAAAGCCTCCATCCAGGAAGGTACAAAGGAAAATATTTCTAAAATCCAGGAACAGCAACCAGAAAGTCCACCATTACGGCTCAGAATTTTCTCCCAGGATGGTGTCCTTGCTGCAAAGTTACTAACTGCATGGCCTCGGGCAAGTTACTTACCTCTCTCTGACTCAGTTTCTTTCCCTGCAAAATTGGGACATTAGGGATCCCACTTCATCGGGGCTGTTGCAAGGATTAAGCAAATTTACCAATAATGTGCTCAAAACGCTACTTGGCATATAATAAATGCCCAAGAAGCACTGGTTATTAATGTTATTTTTTAAAGATTTTATTTATTATTTATTTATTTGTATTTTTTGTTATTAGAGTTCGATTTTATTTATTTATTCATGAAGAGACACAGGCAGAAGGAGAAGCAGGCTCCCTGCAGGGGGTGCGATGTGGGACTCGATCCCAGAACCCCAGGATCACGACCTGGACCAAAGGCAGACACTCAACCACTGAGCCACCCAGGTGCCCCAGTCTTATTTCTTAGAGGTCACTTTTTTCAAGTCTAGGCCTGGAGAAGTTTTGCATAACTCCTAGACACTGTGCCCGAAATTCTAGTGACTGCCAGGGGCTAGAAAATATTACTGTTTAAAAGGCCATAACAATCCAGCATTAGATTACCTGTAGGGACCAGTAACTGAGAATGGACAAAATACAGGGAGTTTGCCAAAGTTGCTTGTCTAGAAAATAAATAACTATTAGAATAATTGTATTTATATTTAGGTGGGTTATGTGAAGGAAGCAAGGCTTTTAGTATCAGTCGCATTCTCTCCCAGACCACCTCTTGCATCCCACGGACCTCACACTCCTGAGAAGATGCCTCCAGGGTCTGGGAAATAGCGTGTGAGGGAGATGTTTTGCTCCTTTCAGCACTAAAAGCCCTTGGCAGTTATGTGCCCAAACAACCCTAATGAGAACCTGGTTTCTGTCTGGGTCCTACAGAGCCCAGCTGTCCTCTTGCCTCCAGTGGAAGGCCCGATCCCTGGGGTCTCCCCAGCTCTGGCGTCCTGACATTGGCTCCCCCTCCGGCCACCTCAAGAAACCCAGGAGGCGGGGACCCTCCACGGTGAGCTACACACACTTGTTCATCCCACCCTCCCCTGTAAAGGATGCTCATCTGCACGTGCTGGTTTAGTGTAGACTATTCATCTGAAAGGACGATGGCCTCTTTTCTCTAGGAACGCTCAGACATACGCTTGGAACGTGAAGGGACACTAACCTGTGAGGCCCTTGAGGGCCTGACCCTTTCAATGTCACTGAGCAGGTCTGACGCCGGCACACCTGAGTCTCCTCCAGCTCATCACCCTCCATTATAGGTGCGGTGCTATGGGAGTGCGGTCATGCCCTGGGCCTCAGTTTCCCCACCTGCACCACCGCAGCAATGACCCCCTCCCGCAGGCGGCTCAGGGGTAGTGCTATTGTGGGTTCCGGCACAGAGGAGGCTCCAAATCGATGGGGAAAGAATGTCTTTTCCTTTCTGCCTCCTTCCCCTTGAGAGAGAGCACAGGGGAAAACCCAGGATGATCAAAGAAGAGATCAAAGAAGAATCCTCGAGACAAGGAGTGGCTACTCTGGCATCTTCGCCTCAGAGGCAGCCCTTCCACGGGGCAAACCCAGTAAGCTGACCTCAGCCATCCCTCCGCAGAAAGAGGTTTGAAGATCTTTCTAGAAGGATGTTTTCAGAATGGTAAGGATAAAAGAAGCACATAAGAGTGAAAAGCCACAGGGAAAGAAGACGACCCCACAAGAAGAGAGACAGTGGGGGAAAGAGCCACAGACTCCTCTCATTCACCTTCGCAAGGCCCTACACCCCACTGCTCAGAGACGACCCCCTGCCCCTCAAAGCCTGGTCCTTCACTGAGGCCAAGAATTCCATGTGCTGGTGAACTCCCAGAGTCAAAAGGACGCTCTTCTGGTACCTGTGAGGCCTTCAGTGAGTTTTCTTTGGAAACGGGCTCACACCACACACACCCCCCCCAGACCTCCCGCAAGGCCAGCGACTGAAGTCTGGAACACAGGACCAAGGGGGCCACTGCAGACGACATTTAAAAATGCAGCCGTAGGATTCACTGCATTGCACACCTGAAACACCCAGGACACTGTACATGAACTATGCTGGACTTTAACCCAAAAGCTTAATTTAAAGAAGTTGGAAAGTATGCAATGTTTTATCAGATAAAAACAATAAAATAAGATGTAACCATATATTTTAAGAACTGCAGGTCTTATAATCAGTTTTGTCCATAAAATGGTATCTGCAAAAGTCTCCGGGGGCCCAGCCTGGTGCTCCTGCAGTCACTCCCCACACGGTCTGGGGTGAAGGTTTACTGACAACGAGGAAAACAAAACCAATGAAAACGTAAAGTCTAAAATCACACTAGGTTCACTGACAACGGCTCATACAGGCTGCCACCGTCTGGGAAAGCAACGTGGGCTCCGGAGTCACCCAAACTCAGGTCTCAATTCTGGTTCTGCCAACTATGAGGTGTGATCTTGGACCAATTCTCAAGACTCGGTTGTCTCATCGGGGACGGTGACAGGGCTGCTGGCATTAAGTGAGATGATACGCGTAGAGGGATCGGTGCTGTCTAGAACCTAACAGGTGCTTAGTAAATCACCATCGTTGTCGTCGTCGTCATTATTACAGTGACATGAAAGATTCTTAATCCGAGACACATGTTTTCTGTTAATAATAGCTGCCTGACGGGAGTCTGAGTTAGTGTCTCATGAAGCCGGCGTTCATGTCTCTCTCTGCAGACACGACCCCAGCCAGCACAGAGAGTCGGTTCTGTCGCCTGTGAGCCTGTGAGTGTCGGCCACGAGGAAGGTGAAGGGAGGGAGAGAGGGTTGGGCCAGTTCCAGATTGTTTGGAGGCCAGGAGGCCAGCTAGCTGAAGCCCCGGGGCCCTGCGCTCCCCCTCACCCCCCCATCCCACCCCATCTGGGCTGCCTGCATATTCCCCAGGAGCCACTATTCCATCGTGGAAGGATGGGCAGGAGGGAAGAGAACGACCCCCTAGGCTCACCCCTGGCGCCCACCGTCGGAGCATGTGGACAGCACTACGTGTGGCCCTTCATCCTCTCCAAGCCCCATAGGAGGAGAGGTGAGAACATGTTTTCAGAAGAGGAAGGAGAAGGGGGCCGGGGCTGGGGGAGGACAGAATGAACTAGATTAAGATTGGTCTCAAGGGGCACCTGGCTGGCTCAGTGGTTGAGCGCCTGCCTTCAGCTCAGGGATTGATCCTGGGGTCCTGGGATCGAGTCCTGCATCGGGGTCCCTGCATGGAGCCTGCTTCTCCCTCTGCCTGTGTCTCTGCCCCTCTCTCTGTGTCTCTCATGAATAAATAAAGTATTTTTTTAAAAAAAGAAGATTGTTCTGAAGTGTTCCTACTGCTTTTGTGGTACCTTTCCTCTCTTGGATTCTGATTTTCTGCTCCTTCTCTCTCTCTCTCCCCCCGCCCCCCATCTCCTCGGGTCCCACATTTTGCCTTCCAAGAAGCCTTTCATGATCTAGACCAGGAGCCTGCCTACATGCTTTTTTCTTTTTTGTAAAAGGCCACAGAGGAGATATTTTCCTCTTTGCAGGCCTGACAGTCTGGTGTAGCGATGCCTTGACTTTGCCATGGGTGCTCAAAAGCCACAGACCAGACCATATGAGCCTGGTCTGGGGGTGGAGGGTGCTGCGATCCCCCCACAAGAGTTGGCCAAAAGTGGCACCAGGCCAGATGAGGCCTACAGACCACTGTGGGCCGATCCCTTCTATGGACTGCTCCCGATCTACGGTGTTCCAGCAAAACCTACATGTCCCGCTTCCCAGTCCTTTTAGGTCCCGACTGTGGGAGCAGGAAGCCCTGCTGATGGGCACCCCAGGAGTTTGATGTGCTCTCTCCCACCATCAAAAATATCTATGCATCGTGCAGAAAAGGCCTCCAGCCACCCGGTCACCGCTGTGGAGTTCCAGTGTCCTTGCAGAGCAGGGGGAGATTCTGAAGACAGAGCACACAGGGGACCTCCTGGCATCTCACAAAGCACCGACAGATGCCACAACCCAGCTGCCAGGGAGAACGTGGACCATCGCTAAGCATCGCCCCACTTTTATCTGCCAGGCTGTAAATATTCCGGGCCTACCTGCGCCCTCTGACTCTCGTGGGGAATTTCCAGCTGCTCCTGGGATGTTCAGAGGTTCCCCCGCCTTCTCTTGCTGCAGGGCCAGGCCTGTCCCACTTGGTCCCCAACCTCTCCATAAAACACATGCAGTGGCTAGAACACTAGTGATTTGCCCAAGAGAAAGAAATGTTCTAGAAGAGCTAGGAAATTTCTCCCAGCACCGGCAGGAACACCGGGGAGCAGAAGATAAAGAGAGGCTTTCAAATAGCAGAGACGTGGGAGTAGAAGGAGGAGCGGCCCCGCTCTGTTGCCAGCGGCTCCCACACCCAGATGCAGGCCAGAGCGATCCCTCATAATTTAAGCTGACACCCCTCAGTGGAGATGAAAGGAACACCACTCGCTGTCTCCGACAACAAATGTCAGCATCCCTGGAGGCCATTTAGACACAAACACAGCATAAATCTGACTCCTAGCGGGGAAGTCCAGAGACGAAGTCTGCACACACAGCCTACCATACTGAAATGAATTTGCTTGGCATAAAGTTCGAACATGTTTCTCAGGGTCTCTTTTTTCCCCCTTTCTCAAAAAAAAAAAATCTGGAATGGTTCAGGGCTGTTGCTTCCCCCTTGCCTGGCCCTCCCACTCGTTTATGACATAAGCAATCACAGATGAAAGACCCAGCCATGGTTTATGGCCCTGAGACGGGCTGTACT